TAGATTAGAAAAGCGTGTGCTTGTAATTTCTTCTCCTCAAGTATTTTCACATGTTGCAGCGTCATAAAGCCGGGGCCAGGTCGTCGTGTCGACTCGCTGTTGCTGGTTTTTTCTTTAATTTTTTTTTTCCTAGCTGCTGCGTCTATTAAAATGCTATTTTGACTGGAGTAGTTTAGTTGAACAGCGCAGCAGCAGCGTCATCGTTTCGAGTGCGAGTGCTGAAAAGCATTTTTATGTTCTCGTGGCGTCAAGTGCCGCTGCCATCATGCACCGAGCGGCAAAACGTTAGAAATTTTGCACACCAAGCGACCAAAACCCAAACAAGAACAATGTTGATGATAATAGTAACAACAGTCAACAAACAACAAACAACAGCAACAACAACAACTCCAACTGGCAGACAACTGTGCGGCGTGCAAATAATGCAATTTGTGCAATGCGCCTGCGCAAACGTGGGAGTCAAAACTGTGTTGTCGGAGTCAGAGTTGGTGCCGCCATGGGGCTCACTCTGACTTTGACTCTGACTCGGCTGCTCATTTTAGTAGCTTCCCCACTGCGCGGCCAAGTTACAGCTCCTAACTTCTGTCAGTCAGTTAGTCGTCGTCGGCGGCGTCGTCGCGGCCGCTGTGTGGCCGCCGTTGATTGCATTCATGCGACTGCAACTGCAACTGCGGCAGCGGCAGCAACTGCGACGGCAGCTACGGATGCGGATGCCACTGCCACAAAACAAATAAGTGCATTTAGTGTTTAACAAATGTTCGCTTTTGCGCTGATGGCGCTGTTGATAAGCGCGAGCAAAATGAATTAACAGCAATGAGCCAGAGACAATGATGACGCTGACAATGACAATCGCTGATTCTGGTTTGCCGCTGATGATCAACCTTCTGACAAGCTCGAGCGGGCAGTCATTTACACCATTAGCATTCATTTTTCTAATTAATTATAGATTAAGATTGTTAAAGAACAATAAAACATTTAAATTGTATTGCCCTATACGATTTATCAAATAGCCAACGGACCTCTGCTGAATTTCTTAACGTATTCAGGTTATAATTGTGCTTTTTTTTTGTAGGAATTAAAAGTACATCTATAACTTAAGCACTTAAAGGCTTGCTCTAAATACTCGGAGCAGAACTTAGGATATTTCGAGCACCCCAGCTTGGATATGATTCAAATTGAAGACCCAGCTTGATGTCGAGCTGCAGGTACATTTTAATGGGTTAATGGCAGTGCCAGTTTTGCAATGTTTGCCCGCCGAGAGACAGAAATTGAAGTGCATTGGGAACGACGGCCATAAAACCGAAAATATTGCAACGCCCACGTCAGCTCAAAATTTCACCTAGCAAAACCCATACACACTTGAAATGTTGCAGCAGCCGGACAGCCGACAGCCAAGTGGATGTAGAGCAAGATCCGTTTGCCCAGTTGCTGTCGCAGTTTCCATCTCAGTCCTATTGCCAGTTGGAGTCGCTGCCGCTGGCAGATAAATGTGCAGCGTGCGGCTATATCGCGCGGGTGTTTTGACCACAGAGAGTTTCATTTAAATTAAATTAGAGCCGCCAACTCTCTAACTGTAACAATGAGTGATGCACGCACTAAAAGCTGACAGGCAAATGGCCAACAGCAATAGCCAATGGAATCCACACCAAAGGCAAAGCGTGGGCATAAATCAGCCCGGCCGTAGCCATTGCCATTGCCAATGTCCTCGTAAAAGTCGCCCGTTTACGTTGTCAGGCAATTGTAATTAGCAGTGAACCGGCTGCTGTTGCTGTTGCTGCTGCCACTGCTGTATTTGTTGTTGCGGTTGTTTTTGGTGCTCGCCTGCTAATGACCGGCATAATCATTATGAATTGAGATTGTGGCAATCGGAATCGCAATCGCAATCGCTTTGGCATGCCACTGAAGACGCCCACATGGCGCGACAACTGGATGCTGACTGAGTATGTGTGCTCGAGTATGTATATGTGTGGACCTGTGTGCGGATCTATCCAGGTGCCAGTGTCAGGTAATTCGTCATGGCATGTGGCAGGCAAACAGACGTAGTTCCACTGTCAGCGCCAGAATCGATGCCAGTCCGGCTTCAGTTCCGTTTGCATGCAAATTAGAACAAGTTGGAAAAACACACGCGACTGACAGTGCTGACAAACGGATTTGGCATGCACCTGCTGAACGGCTGGTGCCTGGGTTTGACCCCAAACCTGACTTTCACAAGCTACCAAGCGGGATAGGCACTTTCAAGTTCAGAGACAAATGAGCGCGCATTCGATTCGATTTACTTTTAATTTATAATTTGCCAAACCTTTTGAACTCGACTGCATTGAGAAAAATGAAATTGTCGATAGGCCGCCTTGCAATTTGTGGTTGCAATTTCATTTCAAATTCAGTTCCGCATCATTGCCAAGCACCGAGCACCAAGCACCTAGCACCGACCACTGTGCACAGTATACAGTGAGTAATAAAAGTAAAATACTGCAAATAAAATCAGGTCAAATGGGGCACAATGGGCAGCACGTAGCTAGAGACCATTAGGCCAAATCTGGCTGCCATTTGAGGCACTCCTTTCTAGTCTGCAGCCTGACATTGACCCTGCCTGCATTTAAATCGCCGCTTAATTGACTTTTGTGCTGACGTCGTCTATGGCTGCGTATCCCCACAGGCACCAGCCAACAGTCAATGGTAATCAGATGTAGTCGACGTCAACGTCTCTGACGCTGTCGACGTCGCAGTTTAGAGTTTCAGTACGCGTCAAGTGTGTCGTTGTCAAGGCAACGTGGACAAGACATCAATCATCACTAAATTAAAAAACATTTAAGATTCCTGCATGGGGAAATGTTAGATGCTGCAGCGTTTGCCTTGCCTCATAAATAATGCAGCAGCAACAAGATGCAGCTACGAAATGTCACATTAAACAGGCGATATTAAAGCTGAAAAGCAGATGACACCGAAATCATGTTAGGCGGCACTTGAATGAGTATCAAACGGCAGCTGCCATAAACACACAAACACGCCGTCAACGTGTCGACGATAGCTGAAAGGAGCAGACCAGATCAGGCTAGGCCAGGCCAGGCCAAGCTGGAGCAGGAGCTGATACTGATGCTGATGCTGGAGCAGTTGCCGCCATCGACAGTCGTTTTACACTTGTCGCCGGCATTGACCAAAGTTGGCAATTGCCGCGCCACTTTTATGTGGCCTCCGCCTGGGGAGCTGCTACAGCGGACGCATCAAAAACTTGGTAGGTGCAAACGCCGCACGTCAATTGCTGCATTAGACGGCAGTCCTATTCTCTGTCTCAGTCTCAGTCCCAGTCTTAGTGCCAGTGCCAGTGCCAGTCCCAGACACAGTCCCAATTCAACCAGAGATCCCAATCCCAGCCAGCGACCAAACAAGTTGTCTTTGGCGCGTTATTTATGACAATGTTCAAGATGTTACTGTTGCTGTTATTTCCTCCCTTGCTGCGCACGCTCCTCCTCTGCTTCCTCCTGCCGCTCAACACTGTTTATGTTAATGCAAAGTTCGAGCCATTCTCCTTGCAGCCCCCCACACTGACAGCAGTACTGCATTCAAGTGTCCGTCAATTGGCATCGTTAATAGAGTTCGAGCTCGAACCCCGCCGGCAAGTTCGTGTGCTGCTGCCGCAGTTGCTGACCAAAAGCGGCGGGCGTGTGACAATTAAATTGTCAAGCGCAGGCCTTTGACATTGACGCGTGGCAAGTGTCAAACAACAACGTTGCTGCTGCTGCTGCTGTTGCTGCTTTGCCGGCTTGCCGTCTTTGTCTGCCCGCAAAGAGTGAGGAGTGCGCAGTGAACACCTTTGGCCAGTTAGCAGAAGGGGCGCATTTCAATTATGATTTTAATCACCGCAGTCCAGCGTCAGCGGCAGCAGCAGCAGCAACATATTTATTTTATTTTTGTCGTTTTTTTATTTTTGCTGGTTTTATTTTTATTTCAGTCGGCAACTTAGTTTCTCACCAGAAAATTGGCAATTTTTTATGTGCGCCGCTTCTCTGATAAATGAGCCTTGATATGATTCAGGTTGGATTTGGCGAGAGGCGCTGTTCAGTTACCTGCGAAATTATGCTATAAAAACTCTTAACGCGTTTTCATATAATTTTATTCAATTTCTTATCAACCAAATGGCCACGGGGCTAGACACGCTTGAGCCCAAGTTCTCTTAACATTTTCGGTCAATATTATTGTTCTCTTTCATCCAAAAGCTTAAAGCCGCACTCGCGCACTCTGGACGTCGCAGTCGCTGCGTCACTTTCCAGCGGCGTCGCCGAAACCTCTTTTTATTGGTCAAAAGCTGATCGGCAACTGATAGCGCAGCTGTGTTGGAAATGAACCGCTAGGTCAGGCAGCAGTAAGCAGGCAGCAGAGCGTCTGACTGGAAAATCAACAACAAAACTCAACAACGTCAAACGAGAGAGCAGCTGAGCGCAATTGTGCTGCAGCTGGGCTTGGGCTTGGGCTGGAGAGCGTCGTCGATCGGCGATAAACGAAGCAACGAACGACGCTGGCAGAGAGACCAAACAGCGGCCGCAGCCCGCTCAACAGGTTTTTGCGTTTTAGCGGCTTTTTTGCCGTTGCTCCCAGGTTCGTATGCGAGCTCGGCTCCTCAATCGTAAGCCGCAGCGGCTCTGACAACGGCAGCGGCTGCCTGTTGCCTGTTTGGCTGTAGTTGTTGTTATTATTATTGTTGGTGTTGTTGCTGTTGCTGGACTGTATTACTCGGTCAGTCGGTCTTTGAGAGGTTGTTGCTATTTTGCCACTTTTTTTGCTGGGCGATTTTTGCTCGCTGCGCTTCGTTGGTGTTTTGCAACTTGTTGTTGTTGTTATTTTTTCTGCTGTCGCTGCTGCTGCTGCTGCACCGGCAACAGCAACGGCAACGGCAATTGCACTCAACTGCTGCCGCGACTGCTGCTGCGGCGACTTCGGCTACGCTGGGAGCTCGAGCTGCCTGCAATTTTCATCCTCTTGCAGTTTCTGTGCGACTTTCTTGCGGGACTGTTTAAACTTTTTGCGTTTGCGCGCGTTGCAAAAAAGTTTTCTGATTTGTTCACGCGTTTTCGCAGTCGCGTGCGCGCGTTTCTGTTGTGATTTGCGTGCGTTTTGCATGCGATTTGTGTGCGTCTTTTTTGTGAGCCCGTATGCAACACTTGGCCAACGAACTGCACTCACAACGCATAGCAAATTATGTTTGCAGCTGCATCGAGAGCTTAACATTTTTAATGGTTAGCCATCTGTGGCTACTTCAAATCAAATCACTCATAAAAGCAGCCAAATAAGCAACAGTAAAAAGCAATTCAGTGCTGCCATAAAACCAAATTAATACACATATGATATATATGTACATACACTCTTATATGCATACTTCTTATATTTTTGTATGTAAATAAGTATGTACATGGATATGCCCTTCGTCAAAATACCAGGTGTATATATATTTGTACGTATCTGGCTACATAAGTTAAACACATGGTAGTATAATCAAAAAGACAAACTTGTTTCCATCAACGACATCGCGCAGTAACAAATATAAAACAAATTAAATTAAATTAATTTTAATTGCCGCCAAAAGATCACATAAAAAGCGTGCAGTAAAAAGAAAAATATCAGCAAATTAATTATATTGTATATAGAAAAACATGATGCGATAAAATGTTTACGATTTAAAAATAAAAATAAAAAATAAAGAAAAACATACAAATTTATAGTATAAGCCCAGCAACAGAAGCGATAACACAACAGGCGCGCTGCTAAACAAAAGACTTAGGCAACGAACTTGCTGCTGTTTCATTGCTCGCTTACATTATGTGGCTAGTATTGAGTGTTGAGCGCTAAGAGCGGTAAGAGCTGTTAGCTGTGAGAGTTGCGCCAGATAACGGTGCTTCGGGTGATAGCAATAGACGTTACCATAAAAAAAAACAAAAGCAACAATAATAACAGCAAGAAAATGCAACAAGCAACAAACTAATTGACAAGTCAAATCCTGCCTGCTACAAACAAACAGCTGGGTACCAACGACCAGTAACAAAACAACTAACAACAACAAAAAACAATCGCCGGACAGCTCGTCGACTGCCAGACTGGTGGCTTCAACTTTAATCAAATCGCAGCCCCAACGACAATTGCAAAGTGTGCCTCTTAATGTTTCCAAATGCATTTTACTGCCGCAAAAACAAAAAAAAATCCAAATAAATTTACATAAATATTTCACGTGCTGCTTTTTGCAACTGTTGCAGTGACGACGGTCACATCCGCGTTTCCAAGATTGAGATTTACCGAGCTGGATAGTTGCAAGTGTTTGGACCGTGTGTGCATTCGCTCTGTGTGTGCGTGTATGCGGTCTGTGTTTCTCCAAGAATCTCAATCTGCTAAATGCCAGTGCCAGACAAATCCAAATAATACTTAAAATAATAAAAAGCGCCTCGAGTGCGTTAATTGCTGTTCATTCGAATCAAGCTGGGGACTTTGCCTCCGGTAAGTGTAATTGTTTTCAATTCGTTCATAGTTATTATTTAGTCGTCTTTGGCTTGGTTTTATGCGCCTTTAATTGCACTTTATATGCAGCATCGGCAAACAAGATGCAAAGCTTTCATTAAGAAGACTCCCAGCTGACTAACTTGAGACTGGGCTGGAAAGAGCCACAGATTCATCAATTAACATACGCGCCGATTTCAATTAAAATTAACAGACAAAACAGCTGCCGCATTTGCTGCTGTTTTTGTTGCTGTTGATGTTGATAGCGTTGATGCTGTTGATGTTGCTGCTCCCGCTGCTGCTGCTGCTGGTGGTGCTGTTGGTGGTGCGTTTGGCTATAAAACCGTTAGTTAAAAGTTTGCCACAACAATTAATTGCAGTGATTTGAGAGAAAACACCAACTACAGACGGGCCACTTGGATTTTAAGACGACGGTTGCTGCTTTGGCTGCCATCTATTTCCTTACTTTATGTAAAAATCAAAGAGCAGACTCTGTCCAGCCAATATCAACAGCAACAACTACAAAAGAGCGCGCCATAATTACAAGTTCAGTTGAGCAATTTAAATAAAAACACTTCAACACTTTAACAATAGACGGAATCAACGCCGTCAGCAGCGGCAGCAGCAGCAGCTGATTGCCAGACACAGTCTGTCTAATTGTCAGAGTTAGTGTGATTGTTAAAGTCTGGTGATGCAATTTATTGGAAAAACGTTTTAACTGGCACGCTCAATTTAAATGGTATTAAAATATTCACTCGCACAGCTTGAAATAAATGTAATAAAGAAGCGGTGATAAAATTCATATTCACTGAAAAAAAAAAATCAATAGAAAATCTGCACATATATATATATTAGACTGAAATTCAAAACGCGCAAATTATTATTTACTGTGCTTATTATATCTTATTGAGTTTTTAATCTAGTAAAAATTTCTTATACTCATCTATATTATCGAACAGTAGGGTATTTCGTACATCGACTTACATTTTGCATTTTTCGATCTGTTTTTTTATGTGCAACCAATACAATTATAAAGCAATAATTAAAGCAAAATCGCACAAAAAATTAATCGACAGTAAGGAAATTACATAAAATGACAAAAGCCACTTGCAAATAAATATGCAAAGAATTATTTAATTCTCACAATTGCGAAACGCAAGTCACGAGATTCCAGGTCCAATTGGGCGTGTGCTTGAGTCTGTACATAAAGCGAATTAAATTAAATTTATTGTCAGAAACAACAACAGCATCAGATTAATCAGTAACAGTAAGAGCCACAACAACATCCACATTAACAATAACAACAAGAACAGCAACAAATGTCGGCAATTGTTTAATTGCTGCGCTGACAAAGAAATTGCCGAGCGCTGATACAAAACGCCGCAAATGAGTTCAAGAAATGCTGGCTGACAGTTTCTTGGTAGTAGCCGCGGCCTGGGTTGTTAATTGTGGGCCGCCGCCTGCTTGGATGGATGAGTCAACAAGAAATTTTCTTAATAGCTGTCTGGCTGCATTTTTTTTTATGTATTTCAACCGTAGCTGCTGTAGCTGTGCTGTTACCGTTGCAAGTTTTTCTCGCTATGCTTTTTTAATTAATTCTTTTTTCTACTGCCATAATTTATTAACTTTTTTTGCGCCTGCAATTATTGTGACTGATTCAAAGTGCTGCTCGCCTGGGCAAGTAACGCGTTGCATTTGATTTGCTTTGCCTGTAATTGTGCTCATTATGCCTTCTATTGTTATTGCTGCTGTTGTTTTTATTTTTGTTGTGGTTTTTGCACGGGTTCACGTCATTACACGTGTTGTCTAGTCGGCGACAGACTGTCTGTCTGTCTGTCCGTCCGCCAGTCTGTGCGCCAGTCATTTGGTGAGCGCTTGCACGTCCGTCAGTCAGTCAGTTAGTCAGTGGGGCTGTCAAATTAGCTGTCTGCCCATTTGGCTACTGCATATTGGCAGCAAATGCTTTGATTTCCAGCTAAACGCTTTTTGCCCTTTGTTTATAAATTCTATGACGCACTTAACTGACATTTACTGCTGTCTCTGATGTCATCGCTGTCATCAGCTGCCAATGCAATGCCAGCACTTTAAATGTCACGCACTTCTGGCTTAATCAGTTGCAGCAAACGCGGCAACTGCTTATTCTAAGCAGCTGCGGTACTCAGTTCGTTGCCTAAGTCTTTTGTTTCGCCACTCAATGAAATTCCCGGAATATTTCGCTTATACTGCGCCCGCGTCGATTACGGCAACAAAACCAACTGTAATGAGCCATGCGCAAATATTTCGTCTATTACGCAATACAACAAGCAAAGAAAACCAACTACAACTACGGCCAAAATCGATGAGCTATACAGACGATAGGAGGCGCCAACACAATATGCATACATTTTAGTATTTTTTTTTTGTTTGGATACCCAGCCAACTTCATGCCACAAATGTGAAGAGTTTTCACTAATTTCGAGTTGCTGCGAAACAAAACACGCGAATAAAACAGAAAAAAACTACAACAGCAACAACAAAAAACAGCAAACAATCAGCGCTGCTGCATAAATAAAAGTAAATTTAATGACAAGCAAAATATTTCTTGTCATGCCTATCAGATTACAAGATTTCTATATGAACTCGCAGATGACGCGCCTGTATGTCTGCATATGAGTGCGTTTTTTATAAACGTACATATGCGTGTGTGTGTGTGTGAGTGAGTGTCGTTAAAACATGATTACTGGCGCTCACACAGACAGACAGACAGACAGACAGAACCGTTAGTGTCATTTGAATGTGGCTGTTGATTATATTACGAGTGTTATAATGCCTCGAGGTATCCGAGTCCAGGTCCCAGGCGTCGGCGACATTGAGGCAGCTTTTGATAAAAACCACTTCAAAGAGCTCGCGAGGTTAGTCGCAAATGTTTTGCAGATGTGAAAATTGTACTGCGTAATGATGCCTTAAGAGTTTCTTCGTGATAGGCGGTCATGAAGTCACATTCTTAAAAACTTCTTATGAGTAGCACAAATAGCGGAATATAAATCTGTTTAATTTACAACTCACTCATTTATTGCAATTAACACATTTACAATAATTTCCCATAGTTCATAGAAAAGTTTCCAAAATTGTTGAATAAAACATTATTCCGCCGAATGGGAAAAGCTCTCGCCGTTTATAAGCCCAATTGCCAATCATAATCAATTTCACACATTACAACACCAAAAATGGGCCTTTGAAAACAGAAAAAGAAAAAAACGACGCATGAAATTGCTAATTGTAGCATTGGCAGTGCGGAAGGGCCCAACCCAATGGGCCTGGGACTGTCCCAAATGAGAGGCTTGTTTCAGCGCCGTAGGCCGCTTCAGCACCAATCGACAATTAAAATCGTAGCGAATTCCCAAGCAACAAAGAAAATTTAATTACGCCGCATGTGGCAGCCTCGGCGACCCTTGAAACAACAATCAAAAAGGGCAACAAATTCGGGGCCTTGGTCTGTAATCAAGTGAAAAATTTGTGCGTTTTCAGCCTTTTTGGCCTAATGAATTTTTCTGGCCATTTAGCTTAAAACCAGAAAATGGGCGTGTTAATTATTTATTAAAATCAAAATCACAATCAAAATATTTTTATTGGCTCTAAAAATAATCGGTAATGATGATGCCACCACATGTTTTTCGAAAGGAGGTCGCAGGCATCTGGGAAATGTGCATAACATATAGAAATATATGACTCGCATAATTATCTCTGTTATGGTTTAGGATGATCAAAAATAACCCAGTACATTAACGGATGTGTTTGCGTCAATGACTGTGACAGCTCTTAATTATCAGTTGTGAAATATATTCGCAAGTCGGCTTTTTTATGCTTATTAGCAAAGTCTAGCTAGAAATGGCGGCAAGCTTCATTAAATGTTATATGATTAGATGCTCTGCTGAGTCTGAATCAATTTAAGAGCGAAATTTTTTTGAATTCATAATTCGAACAAAGTTTTATAATTTAGTTATAAATAATTTATATACTTAACATAAACATAGTAGAATTTAATAAGCCTCTTGCTATGATGCTGGCCAATCAGAATTGAATGCACGTTTTTCTAACTGCTGACTGCCTCGTGTGAAACGAAATGCACATAAATCATCCTGTCCGCAGCATGTTTTTGGTGACATCAATTAATTCAGCTTTGATGTGGATGCAGCAAAAAGGCAAAGCAAGAAAACAAGCCAAAAAAAAAAGCGGAAAAATGCGAGCAAGCTGGCAAAATTCATGCATACAAATTTTTAGCTGCGATAGACAAAGGCTATAAAAGTCAAATCAAAAATAAGTTTTCTTTTTGTTTGTCTCAATGTTTTTTTTTATTTTTTGCAATGCGCAATTTGCATATTTGTCGTAGGTGGTTCAATGAACTTGCTGCTACAGTCGAACAAGTCTGCATCTGGTGGGGGCGTCACTTGATGAGGCGACGGCGACGCAAGACAGCGACTGCGACACTTCCAGCTCTCGGCCTACGCGTTATTTGACAAATTTGCAAACATTTGCATAAAATTAGGAAAAGCAAAACAGAACTGAATCCAATCAACAAATACAAAAAGCAATTAATTGTACTTTGACCAATTTCCTCGAAGTAGTCGTACATTAATTATATCATAGAAATTTTTGGCTATGTAATATATGTCGTTGGAATGTGCACATGAATGGATATTCTTTTCACTAAACAGGCGTTACAATTTAGTTTGTGTACACGTGGAAATGTTGCTGCAATAATTTTATAAGGTCCATTTGGACAACAGCCGCCAAGGGTTTTGGCTTGCTGACAATTTCTATTAAAGCATTTTACGTTGCTAACGAGCAGCCGCAATGATACCAGATACCAATTGAATCGCTTTTCTTTGACTTTTAATTGCAATTGAGTTTCAACATGAGCTGCGTGCATTTGCGCAATGATTTGCAGATAGCTGCCATGGGAAGCGTCGCTTTTTCCGCTTTGGTAGTGCAACCGGGGCTTGTGTAGCCTGTGTTGCCGG